AGGCTGTTTACTAAGGCCTTCATTGATACCACCTGCCTTGGCGGTGAAGCTACTTTATTGTTGCTCTCTACATATCTTCCACTCTGCCTCCTCTGACACCATCTCAGTGAAGAGGAGGGAGGATACTTTATTAACATTGGGTGAGAATGTGGGAGTCTAGGCTATTCACATAGACTTCATGAATACTTTAGGGGGATGGCTTATTCCTGCCAAGTGAAGATAAAAGTCCTGTCTTTCCACTCCACCTTCTCTGACAACTCCAGATGCAGAGGGAAAGGTACCTTATCACGGTACCACAAGGTAGAAGTATAACTACTTATCTTGGTCTTTGCTGATGGGAGTAGAGTTGTCGTTTTTTTCATGACAATTGGCTGGAAAGGGGGCCTCTTGGCTACAATGAGTAGGCTTTCTTGTGGGGTTGTTTTGTATGCATTGGAGTTTCCAGGTCAGAAGTTTCTCCAGCAGCCAGTTCAGGTTATATAAGGCAAAATAAACCCAGGGAACTCATGGCCATGTCATTCCTTGGGTCCTTTGGTCCCTAATTGTCTTTTCTCTCAACATTTTCAGAGTGTTCTTAAGTTTATTATATAATGTCCATGGATTTTAGGTGTACTTAGAGAGATAAATAAAGAGTGGTCTATTCAATCTTGCCTGGAACTGGAAGCTCCACCTTGTATTTGAAAACTATTTTTGTTGGGTATTTTGTTGAATTCTAGGTTGCAAGTATTTAATTTTACTTTGTTAAAGATGTTATTCCAATTGCTTGAATTGTTTCCAACAAGAAATCTTTTCTCATTCTTATCTTTGTCTTACTGTATATAAAGTGTTTTTCCTCTGGTTTCTTTCAAGATTTTTCTCTTAAACATGAGCTTTGGTATGATGTGCCTTGATGTAGTTTTCTTCATGTTTCTTGTGCTTGGCACTTATTTTTGTGGATCTGTGGTTTTAGAGTTTTCATCAAAATTTAAAAACTTTTGGCCATTATTTTTATTTTTTTGAGTTGGAGTCTCACTCTGTCGTCAAGGCTGGAGTGCAGTGGTATGCTCATGGCCACTGCAGCCTCAATCTGCTAGGCTCAGGTGATCCTTCCACCTCAGCCTTCCAAGTAGCTGGAACTACTGGCATGCACCACCATGCCCAGCTAATTTTTGATTTATTGTAGAGATGAGGTCTCGCCAAGTTGCCCAGTCTGGTCTTGAACCCGTGGGCTCAGGCAATTCTCTCACCTCAGCCTCCCAAAGTGCTGGGATTACAGGCACAAGTCACTGTGCCCAGCCCATTATTTCCTCAGATATTTTTTCTATCCCCTGTTCCTCCATTTTGGAGACTTCAATTACACATATATTAGGTGGCCTGAAGTTGTCCCAGAGCTCAGTGATGCTCTATTCATTTTTAAAAATAATTTCTGTGTTTCATTTTAGTTAGTTTATATTCTGATGTCTTCACATTAACTACTTTAGTTCTACAATATCTAACCTGCCACTAATTCCATCTAGTGTATTCTTCTTGCCAGAAGTTGTCATTTTCATTTGTAGAAGTTTGATTTGGATCTTTTAAATATCTTCTATGTTTCTTTCTCTCTCTCTTTTTTTTTTTTAATTGGAGTCTCACTCCGTCACACAGACTGGAGTACAGTGGCATGCTCCCCGCTTCCGCAGCCTCGACCTGCTGGGCTCTGGTGATCCTTCTGCCTCAGTCTTCCAAGTAGCTGGAACTATAGGCGTGTGCTATCACACCCATCTAATTTTTTATTTTGTAGAGATGAGCTCTTGCAAAGTTGCCCAGGTGGGTCTCGAACCCACAGCCTAAGGCAATCCACTCGCCTCGGCCTCCCAAAGCGCTGTGTATTACAGGCTGAGCCACTGAGCCCGGCTATCTTCTATGTTTCTACTTCACTTTTTAAACACATGAAATACAGTTATAGCAATTGTCTTTGTATCCTTGCCTACTAATTCTAACATTTGTGTCACTTCTGGGTCAGTTTTAATTATTTCTTCATAATGGATCATAATTTCCTGCGTACATGTTTTGATTGAATGCCAGTGTGAATTTTACCTAGTTGGGTGCTGAATATTTTTATATTTCTATAAATATTCTTGAGTTCTGTTCTGGGATAGTTTATGTTACCTGGAAGCACTTTATCCTTTCAATCTTATGTTTATATTAGGTAGTTCTGAGCAGCACTAAGTCTTGGGCTATTTTATGCCCCACTACTGACCCAAGGTCTTTCAGAGTACTCTATCCAACGTATCATGAATTATGAGGATTTCCAGTTTAGCTGATATGAACAGGTATGATTCCTGTTATAAATACCAGGTACCATTGCCTTTAGTCCTTTCAGTTGGTTTTTCTTTGGCCTTGGGAGTTTCTCACATGAATATACTGGTCAGTACTCTGGTGAATACTCAAGGGGGACCCTCTTCAGGTCTTTAGAGTTTTGGATGTAGCTCTCTCCTTTCCTCTATGTTGCTCTTTTTCCTCTAGTTGCCTTGGTCTTCCTGAAGTTCAGATTAATTTCCTTAACTCAGAGACACCGCTGGCATCCACCTCTCTGTATTATTCTCCCTCTCTGTATTGTGCCTTGGAAACTTTCTCAAGGCAATAACCTAGGACAATCCTAGGTCTCACCTCATTTGATTCTTGCTTCTCAGGGATCTTTTTCCTTTGCTGCCTGACGTCCAATGTCTTGAAAATTGTTTTTCATGTATTGTCCAGTTTATTTGGTTACTGCAAGCAAGAGGGTGAATCTACTCCGTTATTCTGTCTATGGTAGAACAGTAACTAGCTTCCAATGAATAGAATGTGGAAGAAGTGACAGCACATTGCTTTTGAGACTATGAAATAAAAGATATTTTGGCTTCCTCTTTGCTCTCCCTTCTCCCTCCCCTTTGAACCAGTTGCTCTGGGAGAAGCCAGCTGCTGCTGGGAGCCGGCCAAGGAGGCCCACTGAGCGTGAGGGATCAGGAAGGGCTGTTGACCCTGAGACCACTAGGATGCATTCGGGAGCTATTGACCTCATTTCCTCCCCCTTTCTACTCAGCACTAACCAGATTAAGCTCCTGTGGGCTCAAAACATAAAACCTCTGAGACCGGGACGAATACAAGCTAACTTTAGAAGCTCATTGCTCCCATTCTTCCACAAACTGCAGTTTTGGCTTTCACACAACTTACAATTCAAACTCGGGTCACATCTAAGAGCCTTAGTATTGGTCACAGATTTCTGGGTCATGATCTTAGGATTTATTGAAGTTGAATAAGGTGTAAATTGTAGAACATAGTTTTAGAAGACAGCCATTTTGTTGAAAGAATGCGGCTGGGTTACTTGCAGGTAGCCCACTGTGAACTTTGGACTGGGCCACATTCCAAACATTCTGGGATGGGCCACTTTAGTTTGTAAAGTAAGTACTTAAGTCTCTATAGAATTGTTTAACTTGGTATTAGTACGAAAAGGGTTTATAGGCAATATGAAAAGGGTTTATAGGCAGTACGAAAAGGGTTTAAAGGCAGTCATGGATTAAGGTTTCATGGATTAGGTTATGGGATTATACCTGAAAGAACATCTGGTGGGTGGGGAACACCCCTCCCACACCTGACTGTGTATAAGATACCCGTTATAATTCCCAATAAACAGCTTCTGCACTAGACTGGGGTCCAGTCTCTTTCTTTCTCTCTCTCTCTCTCTCTCTCTCTCTTCTTCCCCCCAATCGCTGATGCCATCTCCACCTTTGGGGTACCCTGAACCCAGCAGGAGCTTGTCTCTGGCAAGCTGCTACAGAGTAAGGACATTCAAATAGCACTATGGAGAGATCCAAGTGGTAAGGAAATAAGAACTCGCCAACAGCTACGTGAATCTGTCATCTTGGGACTGAATCCTCCAGCCTCATTCAAGCCTTCAGATGACAACAATCCTGGCTGACATCTTTTTTTTTTTTTTTTGAGTTGGAGTCTCACTCTGTCTCCCAGACTGGAGTGCAGTGGCCACTCCCGGCCACCTCAGCCTCGACCTGCTGGGCTCCAGCGATCCTTCCACCTCAGCCTTCCGAGTAGCTGGAATTACAGGCATGCGCTACCATGCCCAGCTGATTTTTTGATTTATTGTAGAGATGAGGTCTCGCTGCCCAAGCGGGTCTCAAACCCGCGGGCTCAGGCAATCCACTCACCTCAGCCTCCCAAAGGCGTGGGATTACAGGCTGAGCCACTGAGCCCGGCAGTAAGCAGATTCTAATAAGATATTACATTAATAATTCAGCAATGGATTTGTGAAATTTCTTCTTTTGGAACTCTTAAAGAACAAATTTATATTCATTTAGTAAGCTGTATTAGCAGCAAGGCTACCTCAGGGAAGGAGATACATAGAAACCGCTGGAAGTCTTTCTTAGCCCTGTGATTCTGAACCTTATGCAAAAAAGAAAGGGAAAAGCTGAATTTTGAGGAAGAGGATAGTTGTATTTGTATGAGGGAGCTTTGTAAAAGCACTGCTCCTGACCCACTCATTGCTTTCTAAAACCCTAGGGGAACTTTCACCTGAGTCCTATGTGGATATAAAGGAAATATTTTTGTGTTTTTGCTTAGTTAGGGCTTTCTGAGCAAAGAAAACTGGTATTTGGGTTAAAGGACAATTCTTAGAAATTAAAGGATGATTAAATAGCCAGTGACCGCTGAAGAGATTTAGAGATTTACTTCCTTATGTGTTTACATTTCAAAAGGGGTGTTTACATTTCAAAAAACTGTCAAAGAGGTTTCTCTCCCTCTCTCAGGAGTGAAGAGGAACAGTTTGTACCGTTTAAACTACTAGATTAATACTTTTGGGGTTCTCTTCTGCAGTACAGACCCTGCATACAGAAGATGTCGTCTGGCTCTCATGGTGTCACCTGTGGGCTATTGCATGGAGAACTAGTGTGGCTATTGTGGTTATTGCTGTAATAATAACTGTAATCTCTGTTTCAGAAACCTTATACTGCAATTTGCTTTCAGGGTAAAATGAATATAGATATACTCACCACAAAAGGGAGGATACACTCGTGTTGATTTTGTACCATGTATAAACTGAACAGGGACATGCGGCTGGGGCCCATCAAGCTGCAGGCTAGAGAGAAAAAGTTCTGCAGAGCCTCACAGAGGTTGGAGCAGATGTCAGCCCAGGATGGTAGAGCAATGTGCACAATAAGAAGCCTTGGAGGTTGCTGGTCAATCTGCATGGGAGCGGAGGGCCCTTTACCAGTAGTTCGCCCAGAATGCATAGCTGCCAAACCTGAGATGAAACTGCAGCCACTACGTGGATATTCTCTACCTGTCTCAAAGAAAAGAGAAAACACTGTTTTTCAGATTGAACTATGTGTGCTCTCTTGAAACAAAAAACAGGTTGAGGAGACTAAACGTAAGTCAGATTGGGTACTAAATCAAGCTTGACTAGTCATCCCATGTTAATAGCTCTCAAGGGAGTTAACTGTTTGCCTATAATGTAAGGCTGAAGATGCTTAGAATTGTTGAGTGTAACTAGTAAAAGAGTTATACAAAAGTCAAACTTCAGTCTCTCAACGAAAGCTATCTGCCTTCATAAATTTTGTTTCTTTATTAGCATTTATTGCATTGTATTGTAATGTTTCTGATTGCCTCTCCCACTGCATCTCCCACTATATCATGAGCTTCCCAAGCCTGTGTTGTTGATTTATTCATCAGCGCTTAGCAGTGTTTGTTTGGCACATAAATATTCTTAAAAATGAAAATATAATTACATTTCCCCCTTGGCTAAAATTATTTGGTTATCTGTGTCTCCTATAACGTAAAATTAAACTCTCTTCAAGAATCTTCATGACTTGATTGTTGGCCTCATTGGAAACCGTTCTTTACCTCAAGTTTTCATGAAAATAATACCAAATAAACCATTCACTTCAGTGCATTTGCTCATTCTGTTTTCTCTGCCTCCAATGCCCTTGCCTTCTTTCTTTACTGACTTCTTCTCCTCAGATTAGGAAGAACAAAGAACCAATATCAGGAATGAGAAGGGGCCATCATTACAAATGCTCACACATGAAAAAGAGTTATAAGAGGATATAATGAAGAGCTTTATGCCAATAATTCAACAAAATGGACAAATTCCTAGAAAAATGTATCTAACCAATACTAAATTTAAAAAAGGAATTTTAGAAAGCTAAATAGTCCACAACCATTAAAGAACTTTAATCGATAATCAAATATCTTCCCCCAAAATAAGCTAAAGTGTCAGATGATTCCACTAATGAGCTCCAACAAATTTGCAAAGACCAATCCTTTTTTTTTTTTTTTGAGTTGGTTTCTCACTCTATCACCTAGGCTGAAGTGCAGCAGCATGCTCACAGTCACCCCAGCATCGACCTGCTGGGCTCTGGTGATCCTTACACCTCAGTCTTCCAAGTAGCTGAGGCACCAGGCCTGGCTTAATACTTTTCAATCTTAAACAATTTATTTCAGATAATAGAGAACACTTCTCAATTAATTTTATGAAGTTAGTATAATTTTTGATACTGAAACGATAGAAGGGTATAATAAGAAAAAAACATTATAGGATAATCCCAACTATAAACATAGAAGTAAAAATTCTAGACAAAATATAATCAAAACTAGTTATATATAAAAAGAATAGCACATCATGACAAAGTTGAGTTTATCTCAAGAATATAAGGTTGATATAACATTAGAATATCAATCACTATGATTCATTAAATGAAGGGCTGGGCATGGTGGCTCATGTCTATAATCCAAGCACTTTGGGAGGCCGAGGTGAGAGGATTGCCTGAGCTCACGGGTTCGAGACCAGCCCCAGAAATTCGGTGAGACCTCATCTCTACAATAAATCAAAAAATTAGCTGGGCGTGGTGGCACATGCCTGTAGTTCCAGCTACATGGAAGGCTGAGGTGGAAGGTTCGTTTAAACCTAGCAGGTTGAGGCTTCGGTGGCCGTGAGCATGCCACTGCACTCCAGCCTGGGGGCCATTAAAACAAAAAAAAGCAAATGAGAAAAATGGTATTATCTCAATAGATGCAGAAAATACTTTTGTTAAAACCCAACATTTATGCATGATAAACACTCTTATTAACTAGAAATAGATGATAGGAATAATCTGATAAAGGTGTTTATAAAAACCTGCAACATCATTCTTAATGGTGAGAAGTTGGAAGCTTTTCATGTAAGATGAAGAGACCAGGTATGATGGCTCATGTCTGTAATCCCACTTCAGGAGGCCGAGGCAGGAGTACTGCTTGACCCAGAAGCTGGAGACCAGCCTGGGCAACATAGCGAAACCTCATCTCTACAAAAAATAAAAAATAAAAAAATCATCTGGGTGTGGTGGTGTGCACCTGTAGTCCCAGCTACTTGGGATGCTGAGATGGAAGGATCCCCTGAGCCCAGGAGGTCGGGGCTGCGGTGAACCGTGACCATTGTGATCATGCCACTGTACTCCAACCTGAGTGAGACCCTGATTTAAAAAAAGTAGCCGGGCTCGGTGGCTCAGCCTGTAATCCCACGCCTTTGGGAGGCTGAGGTGAGTGGATTGCCTGAGCCCGTGGGTTCGAGACCCGCCTGGGCAGTAAGACCTCATCTCTACAATAAATCAAAAAATCAGCCGGGCATGGTAGCGCATGCCTGTAATTCTAGCTACTCAGAAGGCTGAGGCGGAAGGATCGCCGGAGCCCAGCAGGTCAAGGCTGCGGTGGCCGGGAGTGGCCACTGCACTCCAGTCTGGGCGACAGAGTGAGACTCCAACTCAAAAAAATAAATCAATAAATAAAAAAAGTAAAAGCCAGGCTCAGTGGCTCAGTCTGTAATTCCAGCACTTTGGGAGGCTGAGGTAAGTGGATTGCCTCAACCCACGGGTTCAAGATCTGCCTGGGCAACTTGGCGAGACCTCATCTCTACAATAAGTCAAAAATTAGCCAGGCGTGGTAGCATGCGCCTGTAGTTCCAGCTACTTGGAAGGCTGAGGCGGAAGGATCGCCGCAGCCCAGCAGGTCGAGGCTGCAGAGGCCAGGAGCAGCCACTACACTCCAGTCTGGGTGACAAAGTGAGACTCCAACTCAAAAAAAGAATAAAAATAAAAATAAATTAAAAAAAATAAAAAGGAGCCTGCTATAATCAGTTCTATTCAACACTATAAAGTGCAGGTAGCAATAAGGAAAGCCAAGTTAATAAAAAGTACTACAAAGAAATAAAACTGTCATTGTTTGCAGGTGCTATGATTGTGTATATAGAAAATCTAAAATAATCCACAGTTTTATAATTTTCTCCAAAAGGTTTTCTTTTTTTTTCTTTTCACACAAATTAAGCCATTTATAGGCTGGTGATGTCTCAAATAGTGGAGCTATTGGTCTTTCAATTCCTTCATTCTTCTGATGGCAGACTTTACTGTGACAGCACAGAAGTGGTATAGTATTGTACTGTCCAGGCTCCACCAATTAAAGTTTTCATGCAGGAGCCACAGCATCAGCTTGTCTCTTCATCTTGGTTTTGCCATAGAAGGAGCAAGTGCACTTGGCGTGCTGGCTGATCCCAATCTTCTTCACCACCCATAGCAGGTCCCATATTTACCAACGATTCTGACCTTCTTGGTGCATTTGGCCATCTTGCCGCCAAGTAGGTCCAAGCTCAGAGAGGAGGTATTCTTATCTTTTGTTAAATTTTAATTCTACGGATCTGTTACTTTTTTTTTGAGTTGGCCTCTCACTCCATCGCCCAGACTGGAGTGCAGTGGCACGCTCCCAGCCATCGCAGCCTCGATCTGCTGGGCTCCAGCGATCCTTCTGCCTCAGCCTTCCAAGTAGCCGGAACTATAGGCACACGCTACCACGTCCAGCTAGTTTTTGATTTTATTGTAGAAACGAGGTCTCGCCAAGTTGCCCGAGTGGGTCTCGAACCCGAGGGCTCCCAAAGTGCAGGTATTACAGGCTGAGCCACAGAGCCCGGCCCTGTTACTTTTTAAATACTAATCTATATTACATCTTTTAAATTTTCACTTTTGTTATTAACATATAAAATTTTTGTATATTAATTCTATATTTAATAAACTTGCTGCACTCTCTTACTGTCATAATTTATCAGTAGTTTTGAATGTTTTGTTCACAATCATGTAACTTTAAATGACAATATGCACCAGGATACATGAACAAAGTCAGATCACAGCAGCAAGAAAACTATTAATAAAAACCTTGTTCACAATTATCTCAAACTGTAAGCAACCCAAATGTCAGCCTACACTAGAATGGATAAATTGTGGTATATTCACACACACAGCAATGGAAATGAACGAATACAATTACATTCAACATGGATAGTGCTAAGAAACATAATATTGATAAAAGAATACATATATAGAGAGCATGATTCATCTGCATAGATTTCCAAAGATATGCAAAAATAACTACATTGTTTAGGGATGCACACATAGTGGTAAAACTGTAAAGAAAAGTAAGGAATGATAACACAAAATTCTTATTTTATTTTATTTTTTGAGTTGGAGTCTCACTCCGTTGCTCAGGTTGGAGTACCGTGGCACATTCATGGCCACTCCAGCGTCCACCTGCTAGTCTCAGGTGATCCTTCCACCTCAGTCTTCCAAGTAGCTGGAATATCAGGTGTGTGCTACCACGCCTGGCTAATTTTTTATTTATTGTAGAGACAAGGTCTCACTCCAAGTTGCCCAGTCTGGTCTTGAACCCGTGGGCTCAGGCAATCACTCACCCTCGGCCTCCCAAAATGCTGAGATTAGAGTCTGAGCCACTGAACCTGGTCTCACAAAAATTGAGATGGTGATTTTCTCTAGGAAAGAAGGACAGCATTTCAATTGAAAGGGACAAAAGAAGGAAATTTTGAGGTGTTGATAGTATTCTATTTCTTTTTTTTTTTTTTTGAGTTGGAGTCTCACTCTGTCACCCAGACTGGAGTGCAGTGGCCGCTCCCGGCCACCGCAGCCTCGACCTGCTGGGCTCCGGTGATCCTTCGGCCTCAGCCTTCCAAGCAGCCGGAACTACAGATGTGCTCTACCACGTCCGGCTAAATTTTGATTTATTGTAGAGATGAGGTCTCGTTAAGTTGCCCAGGCAGGTCTTGAACCTGCAGGCTCAGGCAATCCACTCACCTCAGCCTCCCAAAGGCGCAGGATTACAGGTTGAGCCACCAAGCCCAGTTACGAGTGTAACTTTATAAATATTAAATTACATGACATCTTCTCTATGTATGTTATATTTAGCAATAAAACATTAGGATAATCATAAAAGAAAACATAAAAGAAGCATGATTAAAAAGATGGA